ATGATAAGTCAACAAATAATAAATTTGTCGCTTATGCATAAACAAAAGGCACGATAACATGGTGCATAAATGCAGCAAAATATTGTCCTAACTAAAAAATAGACAATAAGAAAAGTATTAGAACAAGGTGTGTTTACTGGCCGCTAAGATAATGATATGTGATAGCTCCATTTCAACTATCCTATATTTAAATATTTTTAGAAACAAAATATTAATTTTTTTTGCAAATACAATATTAATCCTTTACCAAACAGAGAATGATTTCTTGAGTATTCTAGAAATTATAAGCAAATGTTATATTTAAAACGTAGAACTGAGCTCTTGGACACTTCTGCGCCTAAAATTGTAAACAAATTATTTGAGGAAACTTCGCTTTTACAATAAGCAAATTATAATGCTATGGTCAGGATCTAGTACTAAATAGTCCTATACATGGGAATGATATGTGTGGATGGTAAGTAGGGCCATGGTTGCGGACTAACCGAAGAGCTTATTGGTGCCGACATCCATCTGGTTGAGGTTATATATGAGGTTGGTGTTGCCGCGGGTCTCCGACCGGGAGATCTCGATGAGTCCGGCGACAGCAGCGAGCGAGGAGCGGATGTCGTGGCTAGCGCGGGCAAAGGCATTGCTCTTGTTCATGCTCTTGCGCTCCGTTTGCTGGAGCGCTTCCTTCTGTTGCACTAGCTCGGCCTCCAGCACGACCTCCCGCACCCTGACCTTCCACAACACGCGTGCCATGAGGAAGCACACTACCATTGCCACTATCGTGACTGCACACATGATGCATAGGACGGCCACCCCAATCCGTCGGACCTTGGTTGCCCCGCTCCACTCGCTGAGCACTAGCCAGACTCGCTGGATAACAAGAAGAAATACAACCGTAGATTATTGTTTGTACGATGTCGCCCGATCAAATTTTTAGACATACATATGTGTGCTACTACTACGAAGGAAAAAAAATTCATCCAGAGGATAATCTTCGGATCTGGGATGGAAATAGCCGAATAGGCGAATCACTTCGATCGGGCCGTTGATTTGGAAACTTTTGTGCTTTTACGTAACTTTTTCATCTTGAGAAGTTGATGACATTTGCTGTGAATATCTCGCAGATACTTGCCACCTTATGCACGTTATATGATGTGGTGTCATTAGTTAATTATAAGCTTAAATTTAGTACTTATATGTGTTATATATATGGATGATGGCTTGTGATCGATGCTAGATGGACAGGGTGTTACCAGGTTCACTCCGGAGAGGTCGAAGCTCGTGCACGCAACTTGGTCCGACCCGACGCTGTGGAGCACGATATCGGGCTTGTTAATGGCGGACGCGGTGCAGTTGGTATCCGAGAACAAGGTCTTCATCAGCTCCGCGTCGTGGCCGGGCCTCCCACCCACCAAAGGCTTATAAACCGTCGCCGCGCCGCTGCGCTTGTCGGTGATCGCATAGTAAGTGCCCGCGGCCGGATCGGCCGTGGTGATCGTCAGCACGTCGACGGGGACGGCGGCGGAGACCACGGCGGTCTGCCCGACCGGCGCGGAGAAGACCATCACCTGGACGCTGGAGTGGACCCACCCGGCCCGAAGCGCCGCGGGCGAGCCCCTGTTGGCGGCGGCGAGGAGCTGTGTCGCGTTGGGCAGGTGCTCCGGCCTCGTCGCTGGGACGGGCCGGCCGGTGAGACGGCCGGTCACCGGATCAACCGCCTGCTCGGTGTACCATTTGTCGCGTTGGCTCACGAGCTTCGCTGTCTCCTGACCGTTCTCGGTGCGGTAGTATGTCAACGTGGTGCCGTTCACGCTGGTGTATGACATCTCGGCCACCTGCGGCTGCATGGCTAACGCCATGAACATCCGTGGTCCCACCTGTCAGGTCAACACAGAAGCATATATGTACATGAGTTATTCAGTGGTGAAATTGAATGTATTTGGACGTGCCATATTTCTCCCATATACATAGAATTAATATACATGCAAAAAAGATACTTATTTGTCTGTGTATGTACATGCGTATATATACATATCAATGCGCATATTTATACAGCAAATAGAATAAGATCATACGTAATTGTGGTTCAAAAAGGAAGTGCACATACGTGCAAAAAAGAAGAAGGCACAGTTAAACCATAGAGATGCTCGGTAAATTACGTGTCGGAAATAAGATGATTTGTTGCTAGGGATCTGCGAAGACTGCACGACGATGGCGCGGAGTGGTTGGCTTTCATGAGAGACTGCATGCCAGCGGCAATGTGCACCAGCGACACCTCCACGGCGTTCGTGGCGGCGCTGCATGCGGCATCATTTATATGGGAGGAGACGGAAGAGTACGCGAGAACCACCGTAACCACGATCACTCCATGAAGAATAATCTGCGTTACATCAAACACACTCCCAATGAGTAAAAAGTAAAATAAAATAATGCATAGTTATTAATTTAAAATGTCTTTTCGCCACAACGTGTTTGAACTCATCTAACGGTAACATTTGTCGTGACGTTCCATCGATATTCGTTGTGTCAATCCATCGGCATGTAAGCAATAACTCAAGATTCCGAGCATTTCTAATAATCCAGCGGTATCGTTTGTCGTGATATTCCACTAATAGATGCAAGTGGTAAGGCAATATTCGGGGTCTTTACGCTCACCTAACGACAACATTTGTCGTGACATTCCATCGATATGTCTAATACAACGACATGAAGAGCGACATATGAGCATACGACAAAAGAGAGTTCTTCTGATAGTTATGTCAATAGTGGGCTTTGCCTCACACATGTGGGGATATCCGTGTTGTATGGAGCATA